TGAGGGCTGGGCCAGCTCCTCCTGGGTCAGGGGGTGATTTTCCTGACCTGGCTGGGGCAGAAGGGTGATGGCAGGAGGGAAACGCGAGCCTGCAGGGCTGGAGCGGGTCTGGCTCCGGCTTGGGACTCGGCAAGACGGTCGGTCAGGTGTCCCAGAACCACAGCCCCCGCACGGCCCATCCCCTTCCCTCCGGTTATGGAAGAGACTAATTATTATTTACTGCTACTCAAGCGTCTGGAGCATTGCGCTGCTCCCAGGAAGAGAGGGAAGAAGCTATGGAAGCCACAGCAGAGATTAGGGAGATTTTTTTTTTTTATGAGGCTTGGAGAACCACAGGACAAAGGACGCTTGAAATCACAAGCCTTTAATACTCGTGGCATCTCAGATGTACCAAATAAACCTCCGTGTTATAATCCCGGAGCTCAGAGACCTCAAAGGCCGTTTCCTTTGACCCTCATGGTAGTTAGGGGAGTTAAATGCAGAGAAGGCCATCTAGGTGGCCGGCACAAGGCCCTCGGAAACCGGGAAGAACTGGGATAGCGAGGCAGAGGCAGGGACTTCATGTCCCTCTACGGTCCTGCTCATGTGGGGACCCTGAACCACAGGATCAGAGACCTAAAGGTTGCAGTTGACAACCGGGGCGGGGTCTAGGCCGATGTGGGCCTCTGGAGCTTGGGCCCAGCAATGGTGGCGCCCTCTGCTGGCTGACCTGCAATTCCAAGCTGAAAGTGGAGCTTGGCTTAATGTCAGTGCCCTGCCCTTGGCCAACTGAGCCCGGGAAGGTGGGCTCTCCTACACGGGTGCCATAGCTCCAGGGGACTGGGCCAATTGATCTAAGGAGGAACGGGGCCAAGAGAGGGGCCCATCTTGGGTCAGGCGTAGCTGAGCTGGGGTTCACCAGGGACCTGTTCAAGCCACATTTTATTCCAGACGGGTGGATCAGGAACCACCCTGGAACTAGGCTCAGGGGACACCCACGGGGGTCAGGACATCCTGCCACTGCCAGACGGTGTGGTTTTGAGCAAACAATTTCACTTCTCAGAGGGCAAAGGTATCTGCCAAGGGTGTTGTGAATATCTGCTCAGATCACTGCTGTCCTCTAGGCTGCTGGGCTCGGGGACGTTCCCCCACAGCCCTCTTCCCCATGTCCCCCACCCCGCCCCCCCTCCCTCCCACACACATCTGCAACATACACACCAAGCCTGGCCCACCTGTCCCTGGAGCCAGCTCCTGTCTCCCACCCCAGCTCAGACCTGCCTCCGCCCCTGACCCAGCTTGGCACGCCTGTTGGCTTGTCCTGGCAGGGCAGGACTCCTCTTGGCAATAATGGGCCCAAAATAGCACTTCCCCCTGCTGCTTCCTGCGGCCTGGCCTGTGGCTTATGGTCTGAGAGGACAGAAGAAAGACCTGGTGTTTGGCAGGAATGCGAAAGATGTAAAGGACACCTAGAGGTGAGCTGGAGCCAGAGGGGCAGCAGATCTGACCCAGGGTCCACCCTGCCCCGTGAGGGGAGGACGGGACGGAGGCTTCAGCTCAGACCTCTGGTCTCTAACTGGAAGGTCTCAGCCCGAATCTTAGTCGGATTTAAAGCTCTTTTGCCAAGTCCTCGACCTACGCATGGGTTCCACCCTGATGCAAAGGGTATCACCCCACCCAGGCAGTCAATCCCACGTGTGTCTCCTGGGCTAAGGGTTATTCTCTGACCTTTCTGATCGCAGGAAGCCATCCTGCCTGAATACACCCCAATCTCCTTCCTCCAGCCTCTGTGCTGCCTTGCTGTGTGACATCAGGGACATGCCCATCCCTCTCTGGGTCTCATCTTCCCCGGGAGGTAGGTGGTCTTGCTAAACTGAGTCCTCTGCTCCTAGCCCGAGGGACCACCTGGAGACTCCTATGGAGAGGAGATGGCCCTGACGCTTGCATCCTTGGAGGTCAGGACCTCCAGCCCAAGACTGGCCTGAGGGCCCGAGCCGGAGGGTTCCCGCGTGTGTCTGGCTGCGTTCTCACTGCCCTCTGCTCCCTCCCCCAGCCCCCCATCCAGGCTCTTTTCTCTTCTCCACCAGTAGCACAGAGTAATCTCAGCCATGTGGGGTGAACTCGAGGAAGGCATTTAATCTCTGAACCTTAATTTCCTGGTCCTAAAAGGAGGCTCCTATGGTGCCAGTCTGCCGGAGGTTAAGGAGATGGTCTCTGCCAGCGAACAATAAATGAGAGTGGGGGAGGCTGATGTGACATTCAAGACAGGGATATGGCGTCTCACGGAATTCTCTCGGTTTAATCCCACACACACAGAGCGTTTGATGTATGTCAGGCACTGCAGGCAGCAAAACCCAAACCACCCCCACCCCCCGCGGGAGCTCATGTGCAGACTTCCGGCCTTGTCCACTCCCTGCTCTGCTGAAGCCAGACCTACACTCTGAACCCTTTGATCCCGGTTCCTCTGCCTCTCTGCCCTGGCTTGTACTCATCGCTTTCTTTCTTTCTTTCTAGTTTGGGGGTTGGGGAGTAGGGAGACACAGCCAGCAGTGCTCAGGAGTGACTCCTGGCTCCGTGCTCAGGGATCACACCTGGAGGTGCATGCATGGGGTACCATGTAGGTGCCGGGGATCAAGCCAGGGTCAGCCTATGCAAAGCAAGTGCCTTATCCCCTGTACTATCTCTGGCCCAAGGTTTCCCTCTTTCCAACAAGCCCAAGTCCTACTTCCTCCAACTCCATGGTCAGTCGTGAGTAGGCACTTTAAAGCAGCAGTTCTGGGACCAGGAATATAGCTCAAAGGGGTGGAGCACAAGTCTGGGTGAGGCACAAGTGGGTCCCCAGCACCTGTGGCCCCTTGAGAGCCCTCAGTTGTAGTCTGCAGCGTTAAATGGTCAGGCTCACATCACTGGTGGGACTAGCTTCTAGGTCCCTTTTATTTTTTGTGGGGTTTGGGTCACACCCGACAATGCTCAAGGGTTACTTCTGGCCTGCATTCAGGGATCACTCCTGGCAGGGCTGAGAGGACCATATGGGATGCTAGGATTGAACCCTTGAACCCCCATCAGCTGTGTGCAAGACAAACACCCTACCCACCGTACTATCACTCTGGCCTCTCTGGGTCCCTTTTAAAAAAAAAAGGCCAGAGGGATGAGAGAGACGGTACAGCAGATAGAGTACTTGCCTTGCATGCTGCCAAACCAGGTTCGATCCCTGACACTTAATATAGTCCCCGGAACCTTGCCAGGAGTGATTCCTGAACTGATTCAAGAAGTAAGCCCTGAGCACTAACAGATGTGTCCCCCCTTCCATCCCCCCAAAAATAGACACAGATAACTCAGTGAGCTGGAGTGCATCCTTGCATGCAGGAGGCCTGGGCTTGGTCTCTGGCCCACTGAGCATCATGGGGAATGACTCTGGAGCACAGAGAAAGGAGGAACCCTGAGCACTATAGGACATGGATCAAAAAAAAAAAAATAGTGAAAGGGAGAGACCCTGGGTTCAGTCCCTGGCAGTGAAGTTAGAAACCACAGCAATTCTGTATCTTGGTTGGCAGAATCAGAGTCTGGGAGGGGCACACAGGAAGCTTATGGTGATGTTTGTTCTTTATCTGGGTGTGTTCACTTCATAAAAATTCAAGCTGCACGCTAATGATTTATGTACTTTTCTGTGCAAATGTTAGACAGCAATAAAAGCATCTTAAATAAAACTGGGGGACCAGAGCGATAGTACAAGAGATAGTTCAAGGTCTTGCACAAGGCCAACCCTGGTTTAGACAGCATATGTTCCCCTGAGCACCAGCAGGAGTGACCCCTGAGCACAGAGCCAGGAATACCGAGTACCTCAAGGTATAGTCTGGACCTCCCCACCAATATCGTCCCCCGCCCCCACCAAGAAAAAAAAAGCCAAAACAAACCCCTGGACCCTGCCCTCAGAGTTCTGATGGGGTTGGTCTGGATGGGACCGGGCCCCTCACATCACTATAATGTGTAGCCGAGGTAGCAAAGCCCATGATTTAAACCAAGTTTCTGTGATTGAAATTGTGGGTCAAATATGGAAGTTGTGAAAAAACTTGGCAACTGGAAAAGGTTTCCTAATTCAAATGAGCAGCAAATCCAGGGCGTTTCTGGCAGTGTTCGTCTATGTTGTATCAGGCAAAAGTGGTTGCAGTGAAAAATGTCTGGGGAGTCCTGATCTGGGGCCGCAGACACCCCAAGAGGCTGGAGTGCAGCTTCGCATGCAGGGGGTCCGAGTTCAATTCCCGGCACCACATGGTCCCCTGAGCACCCTGGGAGGCCCCAGAAGCACAGGCTGGGAGCAGCTCCTGAGCTACTTGTGTGTGACCCAAAACAAAGAAACAGAAACAAAAATCCCTGCTCCAGAGGATCCGATTCTTCCCAGAGTCACTTGACCTGCTGCGGACAGCTGCTCATCCAGGACCTTCTCCTTGAGTGCCTGGCCTCAGGCTGGTGATGTCCTAGAAGTCGCTAAGTAACAGCCCCTTTCCTATGGAGAAACTTGCACTGAGAAAACAATGAGGCTCAGAGGCCCAGGGGCTACAGTGGGGAGGGCATTTACCTTGCATGCAGCTGACCTGGGTTCGATCCCCAGCATCCCATATGGTCCCTTGAGCCTGCCAGGAGTGATCCCTGAGTGCAGAACCAGGAGTAAGCCCTGAAAACTTACTGCCAGGTGTGGCCCAGAAATAGAGAGAGGGTGAGGGGGGCGGGGAGAGGGAGAGAGGGAGAAGGATAGAGAGAGAGAGGGAGAGAGATGAGGTTCAGCTTTGGAAACCAAGAGTGGTGCAAACTGGTGCTAAGTGAAGTGGGTCCAGGGCCCACACTGAGTGGGAGAGGCTGGAAGAAGCAGCATGGACACAGGAAGGAGACCCTGCAGGCAGCAAGGAAACTGTGGACCCAAGGTGGAGAGATCCGGGCTCCTGGGGTGGGAAACCCCCCATCCCTCTGCCTCACACATCTGGGCCACCATGTTCTGCGGCAGCTTCTTGCCACGGTTTCGCCTCCACTAACTTACTCCCCCCTTTTATTTCAGGGCGCAGGGCTGGGCACATCCAAGTCCCAGACAGATGAGGAAATGGACACTCAGCGGGGACACGACACCTTTCCCTAGTCTTGGGGCGACATGGTGGCAAAGGGCGCCTTTCTGTTCTGTCTCAAAGCAAGCATCCCCTCCACTGTGGGGAGGTGCCCAGGCTCCTCTCAAAGCAACAGTCAGCCCAAGAGGCGCATGTGCCAGTTCGCAAAGCCTGAGCCTGCAAGCCCTCCAGCAGCGCCTTTTCTGTATCTTAATCTCTCTGGACTGGGCCGTGCTTGAGCAAGCCCCGTTCTGCTGAGGTGGATAACTCCCGGCGCTCCACTGTTGGTCCCGCAGGCCCTGGTCCCAGCAGGACTCAGCCCCAGGTCCTGGCATCTGATCCAGTGACCGCTCTTGGACCACAAATCAAACACGGATTCTCCTGGCCCCTGGTCCCGAACCCAGCTTGGCCTGTGTTAAGAGTGCCCAGCCTCCGTGAAACTGTGCTGGAGAGCCTGGTTTCCCAGGGGATCAGGGGGGTGCCTGGTCAGTCAGTTTCAGAGGCCCAGGCCCTGCTCCAGGCCCTCTGACTCGGAAGCTAAGGGCAGCCCAGGAATGTGTGTCGACACGTAGATCATTTCCGCTGTGTTCTCTACGTTCCTCGGAGGGAAAAGATCCGCGCACACAGCTCTGGTTACAAAGCGCCAAGCAAATGCAAGTCCTCATCTGAAGAGCCCAGAGAACGTCCCGTGGCCCACCCAGCAGCAGTCAGCACACCCTGGGCCTCCGAGCTGCCCCTCTGCCCGGACCGTGGTGGCAGGAGGGAGGCCGCTGGGGAGCAGGCGTTTGGTGTTTCTATTTATTGACTCATCAGACGTCATCATCCAAGGAAAGTTAATACATGACTGTTTGGTAGCAAGAGAAACATAATCTAGACCGCAACGAACCCAAACAGAACCAGAACCAAACCAACCCCATCGGAAACAGGACCTTTGGAACTACAGCTGAAGAAGCGAGGGGCTGGACACTGGCTCCCTGCCGTCTGGGGTGGCCGGGGTGCAAAGCGGAGGCCATCTCCAGCTTCCCGCCAGCCCTGCCTTTGGCGTCCTTCGTGGACGAGCTGCCCCTCGAGGGAGGGGTGTGAGGAAAACTTCAGTGGTCTGAGTGAGGGGAAGGAGGGGCTCCTAAGCCCGCCCTCCCAAGGTGACCTTCTTGTGCCAGTGCATGAGACACGGGGCGGGAGCTGGGGAGACTGGGGGAGAGTCAGGGCCCCAAGAGGGCCCTGTCCGGGGCCCAATCCAGGAGACCACTAAAGGCACTGCCAGCCCCTCCTCCCCCCTCATCAGAGGCTATGCCCACCCACTCCATAGTTACCATCTTGTCTTAGATGTCTGGGGTGGGACGTGGCTTGGTCCTTGGCTCTGGGTACTGGAGGTTCTGTTCAGGACAGGGCTATGGGACACGTACATTAAGCGGCAGTGTTAGAGGGCCCTGAACATGTGTGTATGCGTGTGTGTGTGTGTGTGTGTGTGTGTGCGTGCACGCATGCACGCAGATGTAATAAGAGGGTATTGGGTTTGTGTGTGTGCATGTGTGTATGTGTGTGTGTGCGCACACACACACACACACACACACACACACAGAGACACACACACGGATGTGAGAGGGTCTAGGTCCCTCCAGGAAGTCTGGGTTAGGGTCCCATGGCAATCCCCAGAGCAGGAATAGGGTTTTTTTTTTTCCTTCTGCCATTTTCTCAAGTCACCCCCTGCCCCAGGCCACTGCATAAATAAGTGCTTGAGAAGGTACACATCTAAAAAGAAACATAAATACTGTACACGGGAAAGGATTCCGTCCCTCGGCCCTCCCGCTGCCCCCAGAAAACCCTCCAATATTGCACATGGCCCTCCCCAGCCCCGTGGGGTGCGGGCCCGGCCGTGTCTTTGGTAGAAGCTCCAGGGACGGAGGTCTTGGGCAGCCCGTGCGCCCCACAGCCCCCTCACAACCGGGAGCCCCGGAGCAGCCAGAGGTCGGGGAAGTCCTGGGCCCAGCTGGCCAGCGGGAATCCATCAGGAATGCTTCGGCAAGGCTGGGAGAGGACCAAGGGGGACCACTCCTGGCCAGAGTCTGTGTGTGGGCAAGGCAGAGGCAAGCAGGCTGAGGGTGGGTGGGTGGCCACATCCTGGGCCCCGGGGGCTACGGTCACACCCTCCATAGGAGGAGGTGGTTGGTGCTGTCGTCCCGGCCCACAGTCTCACTGCTGCCCCCGGGCCCGCCACTGAGGCGGAAGTCCTCGTAGCCGTCCCCTCCACTGATGACCAACATTTTTGGCCGGGCTGATGCAGGGCCTCGGTGCCGAGGGGAGTCACGGTGATCCAGTGACGGCAGCTTCTCGGGGCCTGGGGGGTGGCAGGGGAGGACCCGTTAGGCTGGGGGCCCGAGGCTTCCCTGTCCTACACCATGCTCTATGCTCATACCCCCGAAAACAGGAGAGACACGGCTGCTTCCTGTGGGGGATTCACTTCCTGCCGGCCAGGAACTTCCTATGAGGGCAGAAATGTCCACTTCCTGGCCCTCCAGGGCTTCTTACCTCCCCTCCTAAGTCACAGTCAACAATGACCTAATAGCCCAGGGCCACCCCATATCCTCTCCCTCTGGGTCCCAGTGCAGGTCCTCACTTCCGGCTCCCAGTAGCCCTCCCCAGGGCCAAGGGCTCAGGTTTTCTCTACACCCAGATGGCTCCTGTGTGAGGCCCTCGGGCTTTCCCCAACTGACTCTAGGGAATACGGCTTCCTGCCCCGACCAAGCAAGACTTTGCTAATTGTGTCCTTCTCGCTGTATATCATTTCCTCGCATTTTTCACTTTCTAAGGCTCAGAGACCATTTTTCTCTCCTCCATGCTCCCGGTTCTGTTTTCTGGTGTTATTTCTATTTCCTGCTCTAGACAATGCTTCCGGATTTGCTTCCTGCCCTTACATCATTTCTAGTTGTTTTGTTTCCTGTGGTATATTCCTGTGGTATATTCTAACTCAGTGTCTCTTTCTCTCTTACACACACACACACACACACACACACACAAATCTGAGTTGGTTCCTGACTGTATTGCCTACTTCCAGTAAAATGACACTTCCAGCTCTGTGTCACATTTTCCCTCCCTTGAGCCCTCCTTGCCGGGATAGTGGGGAGCCCCGACCTTCGTATCAGGGACCCCAGGGTTGGGGCGGGGTGTTCCAACCCACCTGTGTCTGAGGGAGGCGGTGGGGTCGAGCAGAGCAGGTCAAAGCCATCCGGCAGCTGGACGGCGGCCAGAAAGCGGACATGGCCAGTGTGTCCCTGCCCCAGGCCGGCGGGGCTGAGGGGAGCCCGGGGGCAGCTGATGGAGCCGGGTGAGGTGGGCATTGTGAGCACGACGCCGGCACTGGTGCCCACCCACAGCAGCTCCTCACACACCAGCAGAGCCGTGATCCTCAGGCAGGCGGCCTTGTGCTGCCGGATGATGGCGTCTGAGCCTGGGTGGGGGACAGACCAGAGCTGGGGCCCATCCCCGCCGCCACCGCCACAAGACCCGGCCCACCCAGGTTTTGGGGTGGGCACCGTGGCCGCAGCGGCTAGTACCTGCCAGCATTCTGTGCACCGGCGGCGTGACGTCCACCTCTGTCAACTGCTCGAAGGTCTCCGCATGGTAGAGGCAAACATGGGCACTTCCTTTCAGTGTCACCCACACGCCCAGGCTGGAGTCCGCCATGCAGGCCACGCTGCGGCTGGAATCCTGCCCGATGGTGAAGGTGTGCTGGGGACGGAGAGGGGGAGGGAGATGAGGGCACGGCCGACCTTTTCCTCCAGGCCTTATGCTTTGCCAGGGTCCATCCCACAGCACCTCCCCAACGTCTCAAAATTTTTTTTTTTGGGTCACACCTGGCGATGCACAGGGGTCACTCCTGACTCTGCACTCAGGAATCATCCCTGGCAGTGCTCAGGGGACCATATGGGATGCAGGGAATCGAACCCCGGTCAGCCGCGTGCATGGCAAATGCCAGTCCCGGTTTCAAAATTTTTATTTTAGGTGGTGTGATTTTCAATATTCTTACTATTACAGTGTTATTAACCCTTGAGAAGGTTTCAGATTCACAGTGCTCCGGTCGCTCGGTTCTGCAGACCAGCTCTCGGGCTCCCCTGCCCTTTCTTTCTTTGCCCTTTCTTTCATTGAGGAGTCACGCCAGAAGCTGCCGGGCCCCAGGTTCTCGGGCAGCAGGCCCAGTAGTGTTTGGGGGACCACGTGGCTCCAGGGTCCCTGCTCAGGGATGCACCTGCTTGCAGCGGGTCCCCCAGCCCCTTCTGCCCTCTTTACTCTCCACAAGCCCCTCTAGGACGCCCCCAGGACCTGCGGCCGGGTCTGACTGACCAGCCTTTCCAGGCTCAGTTCATCGAGACGCCCAGCTCTCAGTCTTTGAGGATCCAAAAGGAGAGGCCCTTCCCCCCCCGAAACTAGTGACCAGACGGCCTCAAAGCCTGAAGGGTTCTAGCTGAACCACTGGCCTCTTGGGGGGATAGTAAGGGTGGATTCTTTTTGTTTTGGAGCCACACCCGGCGATGCTCAGAGCTCTCTCCTGGCTCTGCACTCAGGAATTGCTCCTGGCAGTGCTTGAGGGATCCTATGGGATGCTGGGGATCAAACCCAGGTTGGCAGCATGCAAGGCAAATGCCCTACCCACTGGACTATCACTCTGGCCTCTTGAAACTTTTATATGTCCCCTATAGTCTTATCTTGCATGGGCCTGGCACACCCAGTTCTGTCCTTTTTTTTTTTTTTTGGGGTCACACCCAGCGATGCTCAGGGGTTACTCCCGGCTCATGCACTCAGGAATCACTACTGACGGTGCTCAGGGGACCATATGGGATGCTGGGAATCGAACCTGTGTCGGCCATGTTGGCTGCGTGCAAGGCAAACGCCCTACCTACTGTGCTATTGCTCCAGCCCCCCCAGTTCTATCCTTGACCTGCCCCCACCCCCAGTACCTCCAGCTGCAGTGTGTCAGGGCTGAGGACAAGGACTCGATTCTGGCAGCCACACCACAGCCGCCCACCTACAGACACCATCTTGGTGATGGGGCTCCCCTGAGCACCCAGGGTCACTGACTTGAAGTTCTGAGGGTCCCAGAAACGGCCTGTGGGGGGTGGGAGGGGTGGGGAAGGTGGGGGAAGGAATGGGATAAATGGAAGAAGACAAAAAAAAAAAAGAGTGGGTTCAGTTCAGTCCTGCATCTGACTTCACCCCTGACAGCCCCACATATGAATGAGGACAGCCAGGCTCAAGGCAGGCTGGGAGGTGGCCCAAGGCCACACCTACAGACGCACAGTCCCAGCGGGCTCTGGAGCATGCACCCATCCGTGAGGGGCACCATGCGGTCTGGGGGGAGGGCGAGGGACACGCACCTGCTTCTCTTTGGTAGACCACCAGCTCTCCATTGGCCAGAGACACGAACACCTGGTTGTTCAGGTAGCTAGGCAGCGACAAGACCCCGTCAGAGGCCTCAGGACACCTGAGCAGGTCACCTGGCCCCAGGGGGCGGTCAGCCAGCTAGAGCGGGGCCACCCCTCCCACCCTGTTCTCGGGGCCGGACTTGCCCAAAGTCAAGGGCCAGTGCCGGTGGCAGCCACAGGAAGGAGGGAGCAGAGGCCGGGGCAAGGGCGGGAGTGGCGGTGGCAGGGTCATGGGGGTGGCCCCAGGCTTACAGGATGCAGGTCACGGCGGCCGTGTGCTGGAGCTTCATGCTGTTCCTGCGGTCCCGGATGCTGTCGGAGGACTGGTACACGTGCACACTGTGGGTCGGGGTGCAGCTGTGACGAGCGCCGGGCACGCGGCCCCTGCGCTCACCCCCGTCTCTCCCTGCTGGTCCCTGCCCGCGGGGCCGAACCCTGAGCCTCCTGCTGCTCCAGGGCGGCATCACTGCCCCAGCAGGGAGCAGAGGACTCTGAGGCTGTCCCTGGCGCCCGCTCTGCACCTACCAGCCATCCTCAGTGCCCAGCCACACGGAGCTCTGGTAGGCCTCGGGGTCCACGCTCAGCAGGTCCTCCAGGCTGCCCCGCGTGAAGGAGCCTCTGCTGGAACGGCGCAGGGCCCGCCCGTCCATCGGGCCGGTGCCACAGGGCCCGCCGGGGGTGAAGGGGCCCGCCAGGGGCAGGAAGCCCGGCTCTTGCTCTTCCTCAGAACTGGTGGTCTCAGCGGTGGCCTCCTTGGAGCTCGGGTTCTCCTCGTCTGTGGGAGACAGAAGTCTCTGTCCTCATGCCTCTCTGCCAGGCTGCAGACCTGCTCTCTCTCGCGCGCACTCTCTCTCTCTGCCTCAGTCTCCCCTCAGTACGACCCCTGATTCTCTCATCCCTGAGGCTGTCACATCCGTTCAGGACCGGGACTGGATGACATAGGGGCCGGTGCTAACCCGGCCCTCCCCAATTCACTGCCTCCAAGGAACCAGCCCTTGAACTATTTAAAACTCGCCCTTCCAGAGGTCTCAGGATTTGGGGTCCATCCTGACTGCCTCACTGCCCTCAGGGTCTCTGGCATTCGACCCCTGCCCACCTTGCTGTGTAGCATGGCCCAGGCCCACTGCTTGGTGCTTGGCCTTGAGGTCCATGCCTTTGCTTGTGGAGTCCCTTCTCACCCTTCCGCCTGTGCAACTGCCCCCTCCTTTGGGAAGTCCACCCTGCCTGACGACCCACATTGGCACTCACTGCCAAAGCTAGAGGAGATGGTGGACCGGCTGGCTTGACTCTGCAGGGTCCCCGAGGGGCTGGGAGAAGACTCATCGTCCGAGTCGCTGTCAAAGGGCACCAGTTCTGGGCGGGGGTCGCCCTCGGTGGGGGCTGGGGCCATCTCCAGGCCTGAGCCAGCAATGGAGATGTGCAGGCAGGGTTGGGGCCCTGGTTCTGCCAGCGGAGCTGATTCCTCATCAGCGGCCTCCCCGTCCAGTTCTGGTCCCGCGGACTCCAAGTTTGGCTCTGCGGGGTTCCTCTGTAAGGACTCCCTGGGAGGGAAAGGGATGCAGGGCTTACCCGAGGCCCCGCCCACCGGGGGGGCACGCCCTGACCACGCCCCCAAACCAGCAGCCAATCGCGGGCCACACCCTGGTCCCGCCCAAAGCCCCGCCCCCTGGCCACAGAGACTCCGCCCATATTAGCACGAAGCGCTCTCAGGTGCGTTCTCCACCTGGACCACAGGCCCCCAGCCTAGGCCCATCCTGCCGCCCTACCCACTCCTAGCGTCTCACCGATTGCAGCCACGCTGCAGGCCGGGCACCGCCCCGATGCAGAGGATGCGGGCCGAGCACACAGCGATGCAGGCCTCCACGTCCGGCTCAGAGCGCAGGCTCAGCAGGCACACCTGGCCCACGTAACCATCGCTGTTGCATACCCATACCTCGGGTGCGGGCTCAGGGCAGCTGCTCAGAGTTGGGGCTGCGCAGGAGAACTACAGAGGATACCAAAAGCAGAGCGAGATGAAGAGGGGAACTGCTTCCTGCCCCCCAACACCCCAGGCCGGCCAGCAAGTCTTAGGGAGCCAACAGAGGAAAGGGAGCGCCTCGCATGCAGATTCAACCCACTGCAAACACGGATACACGCGATGCTGCCCAACGCCTGTGTGCGGGAGCTTCACGCATGGGGTCCTCCCTGTGCGTGAGTGTAAGGAAGGCTAAAAGGGGGTGGCCTCTGTCCTTATCCACACACTTGTCCAGGCACACATGCCAGACACGTGGATCCACTGTAAGCCTTTGCAGGTTCCCACCCACGGCAAGTGTCCACACCCATGTACAGAGCTGGAGGCAACTGCCATGTTCAGGACAGTCACCTTCTACATGGCAAAAGCCACCGAAAGCAGTCCACCCTGAGCCAGGTGCGCTTGCGCTCACCTGCATGCCACTCCGGGTCTTCATGATGGGGATGGCCTTCAGGAACTCAGGGTCCAGGCAGCTTTTGCTGGACGCTACAGATGCATGGACAGACAGGCAGTTTAGCATCCTGGTCCTAATCTTGCCCATTTGCCTTCCTCTCCTGCCCCTCGGGGTCTCTGGAGGGAGGAGGTAACTGTGCCTTATAACTTGCTAGACCCTGGCATCAATATGCCCAAATGCAGAAGGAAGTGGAGTCTCTGAGCCTCTTTGAAGGCACAGACCCAAGTAAAGTAAGGCCCTCCCGTTGATCATCGATTTGCTCGAGCGGGCCCAGTAACGTCTCCATTGGAGACTTTGTTGTTACTGTGTCTGGCATATCGAATACGTCACTGGTAGGTTGCCAGGCTCTGCTGTGCAGGCGAGATACTCTCGGTAGCTTGCCAGGCTCTCTGAGAGGGGCGGAGGAATCGAACTCGGGTCGGCCATGTTGGCTGCGTGCAAGGCAAACGCCCTACCGCTGTGCTATCGCTCCAGCCCTAATCACCAGCATTTCCTGCTCTGTGTGTGCAAATACAGGAGGTCCTCGCTTCACCCACAACGGGGATCCCTCTCCCCTCCCCCACGACTAGGCTGACCCTTCTTCTCAACCGGGAGACCTTGGAGAAGTTCTGTTCCCCAAAGAGCCTCGGCATACTGGCCGCCCACAGTCCCGGGTTTTCCAGCTCCTGATCACCACCAACCAGAAGGCACTGCCCGTTGCCCACCTCCTGGAGGTTCTGCAAGGAGGTTCTGAGTGCCGGGCTCAGCTTACCCAGTTTCCTCTTGGCATCATCAAAGGCCTGCTCAAAGCCGAGGCGGGCGTCAGGGTGCGGGAACTCAAAGATGAAGGAGTCGGTGCCCTCGGGCCTCGTGGCGCACAGCTCCAGCTTGGTAGGCGGGAAGGAGAGCGAGTAGCACAGCGCCTGCTTCTCGGACAGGTCCCGGTGCACGGCAGCCGACAGGTCTCGGAGTGCGTCGTCCAGGCTCTGCGGGATGGACCCGGCCTCAGCCCCAGCTCCCTATGTGGCCTGCTGCCCCTTCCCTTCCTTCAGACAGGACACGGACTGTCTCTCCCCACCCCTGCCTTAGCAAGAGGTGGCCTGGATGCCCTTTCGGTAGAGACGGGGACAGGTCCTCGCCATACCCCCATCCCCAACCCCACCATTCTCAGCAGGCAGGTCAGTGACAGGTGTCTCCTGCTCAGGCAAGAGACAATGCCGTGGGATCCCCCCCAGTAAAGTCAGGGGGAGCAGCGCAGACCTGGTGGGGAAATGTGAGATTCTCAGAGAGTTTGCTCATCTGGCCCAGGGTGCTCAGGTCCTCGTCAAGGCGGCTGATGGCTTTCTGGATGTTCTCCCTGTTGGTGGCTGGAGTCGCCCCTGGTGGCGAGAGAGGACGCCCATCAGAGACAGACGCACCCCACAGACCTCCGGGGACACACGACAGCCTGCAGCAAGGGGAGGCCTGACAATGTAGGGCTGCAGGGCCCCAGCCTCCCACCACCACTAGCAGCTCACGGAGAAAGCCCCGCCTGGTGTCAAGGCGCGGCCAGCTCTGAGCCACGGGGCTGCAGGAGAGAGCGCGTGTGAGAGATGTGAGTCATGGTGTGTGTGCATGCACGCGTCTGTGTCGGGAGAGGGCCTGAATCAACAGCAGATGGCCCCGCAGGCCCCGCTGCAGCTGACGCCGCCTGTGCGGTGGCGCGTGGAGCCTCCGGCTGGCACATCTGCTGACCGAGGAACTTGTTCCAACAAAGAAGGAAACGATGAGCTGACGCTGGGAGTTCTGTGCTCCTTCTTGTATCTGGCTGCTCCTCCCATATCTCATGGCTCTTCCCATATCTGACTGCTCCTCCCTGTATCTGATGGCTCTTCTCCATATCTACAGCTACCCCCATATCTGCCGGCTCCTCCCCGTATCTGATGGCTACCCCCATATCTGATGGTTCAGCACCCCGCCCCAGCCGGCACTGCCTGAACTGAGGCCCATCAGGCAGCAGTGGACCCTCAGCGACCATCCGAGCCCAGGGCTCTCCCGGCTCCTCTATGGGAAATGCCACCAGCCCCATCTCACCCCCGGCGCCAAGTTCCTCTGCCCCTGTCCTGCACAGCTGACTGGACCATGCCTGGACGCCCGCCTGAAGGACATTTCTCCTTCTGGCCTGTGCTCAGATGGACTGACCCAGTGCTGGTTGTGTCTCCGCAGGGGGCCTTCAGCCTGGCCCAGCTGAGCAACCTCCCCTGCCCCCTGCCCACTCTGGGAAGCAGCTTGGGGCAGGCTGTGGGCCTCACTCCTGTCGCCACCCCACTCATATGCTGCGGGAGAAGAAATGCAGATCCCGGAGTACCTAGGCTGGAAGGGAGCCAAGGGGGCAAGCCTGGACACAGGAAAGGCCAGGAGGGACCACAGGGGCCACAGAGAAGAGGCTGGCACCCAGGAACATCATCACGCACACGCAGGTGGCCCTCCTGGGGCCCACACTCCAGTCTCAGCCCTTTCCACCATCTTTCTGGTTGGACTTACTTGAGGGGGGTCTCTGTTCCCTGTGCAGAATCTTTGGGACAGAAGGCACCCCACCCTCTAACATGGGTGCTCAGGTGAGACCCTGGGCATCAGTGTGGGTTTTGTTGGTTTATTTCGGGTCACATTCAGCGATGCTCAGGGCTTACTCCATGCTGTGCTCAGGGATCACTCCTGGTTCGGCGACCATATGGGGTGCCAGGGAGCAAACCCGGGTCAGCCACGTGCCAGGCAAACACTCTACCCACTGTACTATCGCGCTGGCCCCCGTGGATCAATGCTGATCACCAATGTCAGCCTGCCTGCACCCAGGTCAGGGGCTAGGGCTGGCCTGGCTCTGGGGGTGCCACCCGCCCTCCTGTTGGGTGGAATGTGAGGGCCTGAAGGCGGTCAGCCTGGCCGCAGCTCAAAGGCCCGGCCCCTGCTCCCCCGGGGGCTGCAGGGACGGAAGTGGCCAGGCGCTGCGCCCGCACTACCTCTGACGATGTCCGCGTCCTCCAGGGGCAGTTTCCACAGCAGCTTGTACTTGCTGGCCGTGTCGATGACGCTGGCGGCCGTGTACCTGTGGGGAGCCCAGGGGGGTGGTCTGGCCAGGCTGCTCCTAGCACGGCTCCTCCCGGCCCAGCCCCGCAGCCCGGCCCGGTCACTCACAGGCTCATGGAGCTGCGGCGGAGGGAGCCTGACTTCCGCTTCAGGGTGGTGCAGACCAGGAGGTCGGTGAAGAGGAAGAGCGACCGGTCTTTTTTGCCGCCTACTGCCTTCTGTGGGGCCGAGGCAGGGTTCAGGCCCAAGGGAGCAAGAGGCAGCTGCCCAGAGGCAGGGTCAGTGTCCCGGCAGGGAGGGTGGTAGGGAGGCGGAGCTGGTGCGGGCGGGGGGGGGGGGGGGGGGGGGGAAGGGGGATTCTGGGGAAACCCCAGGGCACTTCTTACCACTTCAATGACCATCTCTTGCCTCAGGAAGCGCCGCAATGGGGCCTGGAGCTGTGGGTTGGGGGACAGACTGTTGGGGACGTGCCTCATTCATCTCCATCTCTGCCCAGACCCCAGAGACGAAGGAGACCACTCCCAGGGCCAGGTCCCTCCCCAGATGACTTCCTGTGGCACTGTCACGTCTGGGGCCACTGGGGGGGGGGGGGCACCCTGACCCTCATGAGGAGGGCAAGGCGAGGGGGACGCAGCCATGATGCGGTGCTGGCCAGGGTAGGGGGCGCACCTCCTCCATGCCCTCGATGTGGGCCTCGATCTCCTGCAGCACCCGTGCGTGCCGTTCTGCCTCCTCAGCGTGCCGCACGCCCTTGTTGATGCGCTCGGCCACCTGCTTGATGTTCCTCTGCGCGTCAAGCAGCAGGGGGTGGTCTGGGTGGTCCTCAGGAGTGTGCTTCAGGAGGTCCTAGGGCGGTGGAGGGGGGATGGGGGGGCGAGAGTGACCACACGGGCCTGCTTGGGGCAGCCTCCAGAGCAGACTTCCTTTCCAGGCACCTTGAGAGCCAAGGGGGCTGCGGTGCCCCCCCCCATTCCCCAGTGCCCCCCACCCCAGCCCATACCTACCTTCACCAGCAGCTCGTAGCGTGGGATGCGTTGCACAGGCTTGATCATGAGGTCAGACAGCGCCTGCTTCTCCTTGTTCTCCCGCATGCTTTGCTGAAACCCAGAAAGGGGTGGGTCATCCCATGAGGGAACGGCGTGCAGCTGAGGCAAAGCTCAGGGCCAGTCCTCAACGGGTCCCTCTGGCTCGGTCTGACAGCAGAGACTGGCCACTAGGGTGGGAGCCCCAGAGGACCCTCGCAACTCGACCAAGGTGGGGTCCCGCCCAGGTCTTGGCCACAGACCACAGTACCTCCAGGAACTTGAGGAAGGCGGGTCTGGCCTCCTTAGCCACACGCACGGCATCCTTGGCGTTGAGAAAGTTATCAATGTAGGCGGAATAGATGTTGACCAGGACGTCCTTGGAGAACTGTGGGGGAAGAGTTAGGTTGGGGACTCTCTTGGTCTCACTCTCTTGGTCTCCACTGATCATGCCAGTCAGAATCTTTTCCCTCTAATTTAACAAGACACAGTCTGCAAAGGCCAGAGCATGGGCTCCGTGTGGATGGAACTATGCACACACATGCACATGTGCACACTGATATGCACACATACAAGTACACACATGTGTACACACACATATACATGTACATATACCACACACACACATATATATACAGGTACATATACCATATATATACACACACAACCAAACACACAACACATACATGTACATACATAACACATGCACACATACGCCACAAATGTGAACACATGAATACACATAACATGCATATACATAAAACATACATACATGCACACACGTGGCTGGAGGCCAGAGCGGTCTGACAGGCCTCTTCCTGGCTGCCAGCACTTCTATCCCTGCTCGCTGACCTGCTGAATCCTGCCAGGCCTTTCCCTCCCCTTCCTCCAGTCTGGCAGACTCATTCCAGACACGGGGGCTTCTGCTCACCTAATTCCCTCCCTGAGAAGCCCCTCTTGCCTTCAAATCTCACCCGTCCTCACGGCTGGTTCCATGTCTGCCTCCTCCAGGAAGCACTCCCTGCCAGCCCAGGCATTGTGCCCAGAACTGCACATGGCCTTGGCTTCTCCTGACACACAGGGCCCCAGTGGGGGATGCTGATACCCACTAGCTGGTTGACAACTGGGCTAAAAGTGGGTGCCCCCCAGTTCTAGTCTCTGCAGTACCCACTGGTGATGAGCAACCCACTGGTGGACCTGAGGTGATGGTTCTGGTCCTCTCTGGTTTCCGAATCTCTTAAAGTGCCATTGTGTTCCTCTGCTCCTGCCCTCAGGTACGCTTCAGGGGCAGCGGCAGGACTGGAGCCCCTTACGGGGTGGGTTTCAATGCCCCCTCTCAAGCCCAGGGCTCCTGCTGCATCACAGTTAACATTGGGGTTGGGGCTGAGATGCAGAGGGGCTGAGGGCTGGCATCCCGATCCGAGGTGAGTGAACCCTTCTAAGACCTGAGGCCCAAAGCCAACAGACACCACCGCGGCCCCCCAAACACACCCACAGCCCACAGAAACAGACGCTTTCTCTTCCCAGCTAGGAAGACTTTTGGAAGGAGTTTTATAATTTTGCTGTTGCAATGAGTTGGCTCTGAGTTAATGCTCAGTTTGCTTACTCGGTTTAGCTATGATTTATCAGTCATCACACAGACTTGGGAATTCTTGGCTGAATAACAAAGCGTAACTTAAGTTTTTTTTAAATGAGGGCCAGAGAGATATTACAGAGATTAAGACACTTGCCTTGCTTACGGCCGACCCCAGCTCAATCTCTGGCACCATATATGGTCCCCAGAGAACTGCCAGAAGTGACCCCAGCAGAGCACAGAGCCAGGAGAGAGGCCTGAGCACTGCTGGGTGTGGGCCAAAATACAAAAACAGAAAGAAAAAAATTTTTCAAGTGTAATTATATTCTTAAAAGCACTAAATTGAACAATTACTGAAAATGGCATGTTAGCTCTACAGACACTTAATTACATGTTTATAAGTTTTGCTTTTGCATTCTTTGTAAAAATTTTTTGGGAATTTCTAAGTAGTGCTCAGGGGTCCTGGGGGGCCACTCCCAGTAATACCCACCAGGCTGGACTGCTCAGTGCTCAGCCTGGTGATGCTGGGGACCACCAAGCAGTCACCTGGCAGTGCTGGGGTGGGCCACATGGGGCTAGGGCTCAAATCTGGGTCCTTGCCCCTCTTTCTACCCTCTTGTTGGATTTCTTTTTTTTTTGGGGGGGGGGGGAGGAAGTATTGGGTACAGAATACCAGGTGATGCTCAGGGCTTACTCCTGGCTCTGCAAGGCAAGTACCTTACCCACTGTACTGTCAGTCAGGCCCCTTTTGGTGGATTTCAGAAAAGTCAATGCCTTTTCTATGGCTTCCAGAATCCTAACACTACTGTGGGATCCCAGAAGGCTCCCGGGAAAGGTGTTGCCTGTGGTGAAATGCAGTGCAGGGTGGGGTGGAGTGTGCTGGACCAGGCGACCTGGGGTGAAACACCCCCTTACTGACTGACTTTACTCAAATTCCTTTCTGTCTCTCTCTTTCTTACTGTTGAGACACTCCCAGTGATGCTCAGGGGTTCCTCCTGGCTCTGTTCTCAGGAATTACTCCTGGCGATGCTTGGGGGAGCCTATGGGATGCTGGGAATTGAACCCAGACTGGCTGCATGCAGAGCAAGAGCCCTCCCTACTGTCCTATTGCTCCAGTCTCTCCTTTTTCTCTTGATACCACCACCATCAGCTTTAAACTTGGGAATAACTGCAACTCCCTCGCGGAGTTGTTGATCAACATAGTGTGTGGACAGCGGCTGAGCACAGAAGCGCCTAACACTGATTCAGATGGTGAAAATGGAGAAAAGGGCGAGACCAGATGGGTCCCCGGGGGAGGCCCAGCCTCCATCTTCGGACGTGGTCGGGCTCTGCATCCACTCGGGGTCAGGACACGGGAGGGCAGTGCCAGGAGCTGGGGCTGGGCTCAGGATCAGCCCATGTAGCTAAGCCAAGCCTCCCACCCCCGGCCCAGGGCTGGGGCGTGCAGGGGGGGCAGGAGGGACACTCACCGACTGCAGGAGCAGGTCCCCCACCTTCTGCTGTGCGTGCCAGGTCTGCACACAGCGGCGCACCTGCTCCAGGAACTGCTCATGGTGCTCCAGGAGCTCAGGGATCTGGCCGAAGATCTCGTCCACCAGCGCCGGGTCACACAGCAAGGAGTTCTCGGGCTGCTTCAGCGGCTGCATGTAGCCCTGTGGGTACCGCAGGGTTAGGGAGGTCCCCACGCCACGGCAGTGCCCGCCCCTGGCTCAGAGCTCCCACCTTTAGGGGACCCTTTGGCCTTGGAGTTCTAGGAGGGAGAGGAAAGGACCAAGCCCAGACCCGTCACGGTACAAGTCACAGCTCAGCATAAGAGGGAGGAGGCTCAGGAAAGGTGTGTGGAGTTCCTGAGCAAACAGAGCTCGGAGGGAGGAAGATAAAAAAAAAAAAAAGACTGGGGGCTGGAGCACAGCGGGTAGGGTGTTTGCCTTGTATGCAGCCGACCCAGGTTCGATTCCCAGCATCCCGTATGGTCCCCTGAGCACCACCAGGAGTAATTCCTGAGTGCATGAACCAGGAGTAACTCCTGTGCATCGCTGGGGGTGACCCAAAAAGCAAAAAAAAAAAAAGAAAAGATTGGGTTCTCTGGAAGACCACCCTCCACATTGGGCGATTTAGCATTTGGGCAAACCTCCTTTGTTTCAGGAGGTTGAGGCCATCCTGGCTCTGTGTTCAGGAGTGACTCCTGCTGGTGCTTGGGGAACCATATATGGTGCCAGGGGGGGTCAAACCATGTTGGTGGATGCAAGCAAGCACTTTAACCCCTGCACTATCTCTCCGGTGCCAATTCAATAAGCATTTTTTGAGCATTAACTATGCGCCAGGCACTGACCAAAGACTTGGGAGACATCACTGAACCAAAGAGATTAAAATCCCTGCCCTGGGGTTGGAGAGTACAAGGGTGATTGCCCTGCACTTGCATGACCTGGGTTCGACCCCTAGAATCCCATACTGTCCCCCGATCACCTCTATTTTCTGTGATCCCTGAGCATAGAGCCAGGAGTGAGTCCTGAGAACCACTGGGTATGGCCCACCTCCCCCCAAAATAAATGAAAATAATATCCCTGCTCTGTTAGTTTACCATGTAATGGAAACACACAAATAAAAGTCAAATGTGTCATTATTTTTGTCTTTATTTTATTTTGTGTTTTGGGCTGCACCCAGCTTCGTTGAAGGGTCACTCCTGGCAGTGCTTGGGGGATCATATGGGGTGCCAGGGATCAAACCCAGATCAGTCAGATGCCCGGCAAGCACCCTACCTGTTGTACTATCTCCCCAGACCCCCATTTTTGTCTTTAAACATTGCTTGTCAATAAAAATCGGATATGCTGATCATTAAATTGGGATATGCCGTTGATTAGAATATGTTGTTCATTAAATTGGAAGGTGGCATCTCTCGATATCCTGTTAAAATATGGACCGCACATGACAAGCATTTGCTAGAGCAGAACGGAGGCTTTCAGTTTCATATCTGAACACCGTCCTAAGAGTTTTTCACTCTGCTGGTCAGCTGTAACTAACACACCTACTCTCCAACACAAATCTGCGTTCTGTGGCATTTCTGCAGCATCCGACATCCCGGCTAAGGTGCCGTGTGCTGTGGGGTGGTTGCCCCCTCCTGGCCAAAGCTGTAACGACAAGCCCAAGCAAGGCGGATGTGTGGCACAGTCCCACGTTGGAATACATTTCAAAGTAAACACTGTAACACATCCGGTCTGTTTGGTCTATTTTAGAAAAGGAGCTCAAGAAGGAGCTGGACAGAATCCTCTCGCTTGCTGGGGGAGGAGTTTGCCTAGGAGCAGGCGTAGTGGGGGATTGAACAATCAATGAATGGAGACCAGAGGCAGAGGCCGGGAGGGGTTTGACCTGCACACTCTCTCACTCGCATGACCAGGGGAGCCTCATGCGGCTTGGGGGGGGGGGGGGGGCACACAGCAGGCCACCCTAGGGAGCTGCCTTATTTGCTTGTTTACTTTGCTTTGCTTATTTTTTTTTGTGGGAGCCACACCCAAACAAAAAGCTCAGGGCTTGCTCCAGGATCAAGTGTGGGTCATATGCCTTGCAGGCTATACTATCTCTGGCCCCAAAGGAGCTGATTTGTTTGTTTGTTTGTTTGTTTGAATTTGGGCCACACCCAACAGGAATTCAGGGCTCACCCCTGGCTCTGCACTCAGAAATTATTTCTGGTGTGCTCAGGGATAAGGGATGCTGGGGGTCAAATCTGGGTCACCTGCAGGCAAGGCAAATGCTCTACCGGCCGCACTGTTGCTTGACCCCATGGGAACTGGCTTAGGGGTGGGGGTGAGGGGGGCTTCTCAGGCAGTGCTCAGGAGGCCCAGGGGCCCACTGGTGATCCTCAAGTAACTGGGGCAGTGGTTCAGTGCAAGGGCCCAAGGATGCCATGCTGCTCAAGTCTTGTCATGTCACTCTCTGCTTGGGTGTCTCCAGGCACGTGCACCCAGTGGTGCTGGGGACTGACCCTCAACTGCACCCTAACCACTGTATTACCTCTTCCTTGGGAAGCTGATATTCTAGTTTTTGTTGTTTTTGTTTTTTGAGTCACACCCAGTGGTGCTCAGGAGGAGTTCAGGGGACCATCTTCAGTGTCAGGGACTAAACTGGGGCTGGCCATGTGCAAGATAAGTTCGCTGCCCGCTGAACCATCTCTCTGGCCCCACATTACTGTCAGGAAGCAGAGGGCAGGATGAAGGACGGCACCACCAAGACAGGCCCCACTTGGAGTTCTCCTTTCTGTGTTTTACAAAGAGAAACTGGGGGCTACAGAGAAAAAAGCAGGCAGGGCACTTGCCTTGCATGAGGCCGACCCAGGTTTGATCCCTGGCACTGCACAGAGTCCCCCGAGCCCTGTCAGGAGTGATCTCTTTTTTTTTTTTTTTTTTTTTTGCTTTTTGGGTCACACCCAGCGATGCTCAGGGGTTACTCCTGGCTCATGCACTCAGGAATTACTCCCGGCGGTGCTCGGGGGACCATATGGGATGCTGGGAATCAAACCTGGGTTTGGCTGCATGTTGGCTGCATGCAAGGCAAACGCCCTACCCGCTGTGCTATATCACTCCAGCCCCAGGAGTGATCCCTGAGCACATAGCCAGGAGTCAGCCCTGAGCACAGCCAGGTGGAACTCAAAAACAAAAACAAAACTCAAACTGGAGAAACCAGGGCCCGTGGATATAGCACCTGCCTTGAACGCAACCTGGTACCCCATATGGTCCCCTGAGCTCCATCAGGTCTAACCACTGAACACAGATCCAGGCACTGCTGGGTGTGATGCCCAAAGAGAAACGATGTAGTTCTTTTTTTTTGGGGGGGAGACCTAACAAGCAGTACGTAGGGGGACTGGGGGCCACTCCCAGGATCCTGAGCCCAGCTGCGAGGGCTTGGCGGACACAGGGACACAGGGACCCATCAGGCCCACAGCAGCGCATGCCAGCCCTTTGAGCCATCTCCCCGGCCCTTTCATTTGGGGATGGGGTTGTCAACCCAGTAGTGCCGGGGGCTTACCCCTGGATCTGCACTTGCAGGGCCAACTGCCATGCTGGGGGTCAACTCAGGGTCGGTCATGTGCAAGGCAAATGCCTCAGCCCATCTGAGCTGCCCCAGGCCCCTTCATTTTGGGGAAAATTCTGAGAAATATTTTTGGTTTGAAAACAAAATAGTTTTCTTCAAGAAGTAAGAAAGAGAGAAGAGAACGCTATAAAATGAAAGGAACTACGCACCCCCAAGTTGGGATGTGGGCGATTCCAAAGCGGATTCTGCCCCTTCATGTTTTGTTCTTTAAAAAAAAACTAGACAAGGGGGCTGGAGTGATCGCACAGCAGGTAGGATGCTGGCCTTGTACAAGGTGATCCAGGCTCAGTCCCCAGCATCCCATGCGGTCACCCTGAGTCCACAAAGAGTGATCCCCAAGTGCAGAGCCAGCCCTGTGCATGCTAGGTACAGCTCCCCGAAACCAACAACAACACAAATTACATAAATTTTTACTCATTTGTGTGTCTGTGTTTTGGAGCTACACCTGCATATGTGCGGGGCTTACTCCTGGCTCTGTGCTCAGGGGTCCCTCCCGGCAGAGCTTGGGGGGCCATATATGGTGTGGGAATTGAACCCAGGTTGGCCACACGCCAGGCCAGCTATCTACTCTCTCCGGCCCCCTTGATGGTTTCACATCCTGGCTCAGGTCAGCCCTGTCTTGCCAGCGGCTCTGGGGCCACCACGGCCGTGCGCCTATGGAACTAGGGAAGGACTTGGGGCTTCCCCGGCCCCCCACGCTGCAGTTCCGCTCATTTTCACGGGCGGTGTTGTTTTTGTGTGACTGAGATTACTAAGCCCTGCCTTTCACCATGCGCCCTCCCCCCGCAGGGCCTCCCGGCCTGGCCTGGGCTCACCCCCTCTGACTCCCCACAGCAGACCAGCTCCCCCACCCTCACCCCCACCCCCTGGTCTCGGCATCTCTGCTCCCCGCTTTCTAGTGCTCAGCAGGCTTCTGGAGTCTGTGAGGGTTTCGGCACAGTCTGCACCCTCCACTGTGTGTATGGGCTGTGGGGACCCCATCACGTGTCCCCCAACGGCCCCGGAAGGGCTGGGCTGGGTCATATGCATGAGTGAATTCTGCGCCTCCTGTCTCGGAGTCTCCCCCGAATTCCACCCAACACCTACTTCCCATGAAGGAAAGGACGGGGTATGGGAGACGGTGGTCCCAGGTCTCAGACCCAGGGAGGTGAAGGGCAGCGAGTGGGGGCCCCTGCCTGAGCTGTGGGGGCTGGTCTGTCTCTGCTTTCTCTAGGAGGCGGCTCCCGCTCCCGTCCTCGTGTCTCACCTGCATCAGGGTTCGCAGAGACCCCACATATGATTGCTCCGTGTCCAGCAGTGTCATGGTCACGTGCTTCCGCATGTCCTGGGGGGCAGAGGCAGAGGGAGGGTGAGTGCAGCTTTGTTAACACCTGCCCCCACCCCCGTGCACATCCTGGGAAATCGGCTCCAGGATTCCTGGGCCCAATCTTGCCTCCTCCTCACTGGACAACATCCACAGGTTATCTGCCCCCATCGCCCCTCAGCACCCCTGCCTCTGACCTTCCCTCAGCCCCCCTGCACGGGTGTCAGTGAAATGCAGTCAAGGAGACCCCCCACCCCCACGGGCATGGACATTTTCTCATTCTCCTGCCTTTTTTTTTTTTTAATTATTCTTATGTTATTTTATTTTTCTATTTTTATTTTTTTTATCGAATCACCATGAAATACAGTTACAAGCTTTCATGTTTGGCTTACACATGATCAAACACCCATCCCTCCACCAGTGCACATTCCCCACCACCAATATGCCCAGTATACCCCCTTCCCTACCCTCCCACTGCCTTCATATCCTCCTCCCTTTCAAAGAGGCCCAGATTCGGCCCACTCTCCAGGGTCACCCCCTGAATGGGTGGGCAGCCCTGGTTCTGAGGGAGGACTTGCCAGAAGCAGGCCTGGGAGTATTCTGCTCCCTGGGTCTCAGTTTATTACCTGGACCTCTGGGGATTCTGGCCCGGGCTTCCTCCACATGCCTTCCCAGATAGCACTGACCACTAGTCTTCCTGGATATGGGCCCCACTGCTGTCTCCTCTGGGACTTACCCCCCCCCATCCTGAGCTTCAGCCTTAAGGCCTGCTGGTCAAGCGGACACTCTCTGCACACAGCTGGTGGGTGTCCAGCCCCCGAGCTGAGGGGCCCTGCAGACAGGCAGCCGCTTGACCTGATCACCACTGTGGGCTAAGGGACTGGCCTGCGCCAGCTGCTGTCCACCTACTGCCCAGAGTAAGCCTCCCTCTGACCCCAGAACTTACACCTAACAACTTTGTAAATCATGGCTCTTTAATAAATACAAATTTTTAAAATGAAAGACATTAATAAACTTTAAACTTAGGTAAAAACAAAAAACAAAAGACAAAACCCTCAAACCCAACCAAAAAACAAACAAAACACCAACCAAACAACTCAGACCCGCCCTACAGTGAGGGGAGTCCGGGAAAGTGGGTGCCCATGCTGGGAGTTAAGGTGGGGTGGAAAGGAGACCCACTGTGGAGGGGGTCCTGGGTGAGGGGTAAGAAGGCCCGGAGCCTGCCTCACTGTTCCTGCTTCCCTAGGTGCTCCTGAGGAATGAGGAACCAGGGCTGGGCGAGCACATGCTTTGCACGGGGGAGCTCTGGGCTCGATCCCTAGCATGGGCCCCAGCACCAGGTTGGGAGTCTTGCCTGCCTAAGGAGCACACCAGGTCCAAACACCAGAAAGGGAGAAAAACCCAGGGCAGCTTCCTGTAGGAGGTGTCATGAGCCAGAGAGGGGGCGGGCACATCAAGGCCAGGGGGACCTCCCTGAGAGGTCTCAGGTACGGCCTCCAGTGGCCTCACACACACACAGCTCCACAGCTCAGGGCCAGGGTCCTTCTCCCGTGGGCACGGCCTGAGAGGGCAGGCACACAGTGTAGGGCCAGTCTCCTCAACCGACCATGCTGACTGAGGGCCCCAGCACGGAAGCATCCTGGAGTCCACTTTGTCCTCTATCCAGTAACCCTTCCCAGCCAACCAGCCCTTCCCCAGCCCCCCCGGCATACAAGCAAAGGGAGGGGAGCAGAGCACAGGTCTGGGGCCAGGAGAAATAGCACTGAGGGGAAGGTGCACGCGGCCGACCCGGGTCCAATCCCCGCATCCCATACGGTCCCCCAGGCCCCGACAGGAGTGATCCCTGAGGACAGAGCCAGAAGTAAGCCCTGAGCACAGAGCCAGGAGTAAGCCGTGAGCATGGCTGGGTGTGGCCCAAAAACAACAGGAAAAAAACAAAACAAAACAACACACCAGAGCCTGCTTCTCACACAGGGGCCTTCAGACACCCAAGCTAGGCCAGAGAGATGGCTCAGAAGGCTGCGGAGAAGGGTCCTGAGTTTGACCCCCAGTACCTTATAGTCCCCTGAGCACTACCAGAGCCGGAAGTAGGCCCTGAGCACTTCTGAGCTGACTCCAAAGCAACAATGACGACCAGGCCCTTTTCCGACTCCATCTCGGCAAGCCCATCTATCTCCAGCTGCCGGCCCTCTGCCCCACTCCTGACCCGGCCAAGCCTGTGAGGGGGACTCACATAGGAGGGGGGCCTGCCTGCCGTTTGGGGCAGAGTGCAGGGAAGGGCAGAGTTCAGCAGCAGCCCCTTCCCGGTGGCCCCATCCCGGACTTTCACTGCAAGGCAGAGGAAGCCACTGAGATGGGCCTGTGAGACTAGACTAGGGCATCTCCGCCGCCACCCAAGGCCCAAGGCCCCAATCTGGGACGTGACAGCAGAGGCCTGTGGAGACCCAGGAGAGGCCAGACACCCCAAGGAGACACACCACGTGTCCCAGCGGGAAGCAGGGTAGCGGACAGAACCCCCACTCGAGTCCAGGAGAATGGCCAGGCAGAGACACAAAGGGAAGGAGCTCCAGACCCCATCCCCTGCAGGAGAACACACCCTGGTAGAGGGGAACCCCATCGCCACCAGGGAAATGCCTCCAAGTCCCGGAGGCAAGGCCAGGGCCGTGGGGGAGGGGAGACACACACACACACACACACACACACACACACACACACACACACACACGGTAGCCAGCCTCTCCGGAATCCAGAACATACACAGGGGGCTGTCCGCTTCAGGCCCAAGCGGGAGGTGGGACCACCACCTAGCGGGCCTCTCTCTGCACCCCAAAAGGTCGGGGGCTCGGGAGGGCCGGACCAGCAGGAACAAGCCTGGGTGCGGGGCTGGGTTGTCTCCCATTCCCCGGGTGCAGGCCCCTCTACCATCCTGGTGCTGCCGAAGCCCGGCGCCTGCTCACAAACCAGCGGCCCCCCCCCCTCCGTCCATCCAGCTCGGCCGGCTTCCGAGGTGCCCCTCCCCCTCCCCCCTACCTGGGCCTCCCCGGGCTCCTCGGCGGCGGCCTCCGCGCCGCTGCTGCTGCTGCTGCCGCTGCCACCGCCGCCGCCGGCGGGCTCCCCGGAGGCAGCGTCGGGGCCCAGCTCGCGCATGTCCTCCAGCGCGATGGTGAACTGGGCCAGGGTCTTCACCATGTGCAGCATGCGGCCGGCGGGGGCGCGGCCTCCCTCCGGGGAGGGGGGCTCGCGGGGCCGGGTCCCGGCCGTCCTGGAGCGCGCCCACCCGCGGCCCTCCTCCTCCGCGCGCACAGCGCCGCTCGCTCGCTCGCTCGCTCGGCGCCCCCGCCCGCGCGCCCGCCTCCCCCCCGCCCGGCCCGGCCCGGCCGCTCAGGGTCGCCTGGCCCCGACACCCCCCCTGCGCGGCCCGGTGCGCAGCGGAGGCGACGCGCACCTCCTGGGCACTGTCAGCACGCTCGGCTCGCGCAGGGGCGCGCACCGGGCAGGCGCGGGGCCAGAGCCACCTGCTGCTTGGGTCATATACAGAGTGCTGGACCCCTCCCTCCCCCCCCACCACCCCATTCCCGGACCGTGTTGCTATGGCCACCCACCTGTAGCCGGTACCCAGTGGGGGGTGGGGGGGGGCACGGAAAGGGCCCCGCCCAGCCTCAGTCCCCAGCACTCCACCCATGTGACCCATGTCCTGTGCCTGGGGACCCACAGCCCCCCACCAGGTCTGCACATCTAGGCCTGCCCTGCAAGCCGGGGGCCTGAAACCCAGCTCTCGCTGATGCTGAAGTCTCTCAGACCCTCGAGAACAGGGGTAGGTCAGGGAGAACCAGGGGTCCCCTTCTGAGGCTGTGTAAACAGGGTTCCCCCTCTCACCAAGCTGCCAGGGGAAACCCCTTCCCCAAATCTACTCCCCCATCCGGTTTTTTTTTTTTCCTCTTTGGGTTTACAGGGGTTTACTCCTGGCTCTGCACTCAGGAATCACTCCTGGTGGTGCTCTGGGGACCATAAGGGATGCTGGAATCGAACCCGGGTCAGCCACATGCAAGGCAAATTCCCTACCCACTGTGCTATGGCTCCAGCCCCTCCTCCACCCATTTCTATCAGCCTAGGAGGCAGCCTGTCCTACCTTAGCCCTCTGTGCCCCTGCGGCCACACACCGCAGTCGCTTCTGCTTCAGTGCCTAGACACGGTCGCCAGCTCTCCCCTCGGCTTGTGTCTCTCTCTGAGCAATGCCTTTACTTTGTGCTTTCACCCCAGTCTCAAGGCGGGTGTCTCCACCTCATGGCAGCCCTCCTTGAGGGTCAGGTCAGATGCTCCTGCTCAGTGCTCCAAGAGGCTGTTTTCCCCAACCATGCCTCACAGCCTGCTGGTGAACGTCTGGGCAGACTCCAGATTGCCGTTTCCTTCCTCCCGGGAGACGCGGGTTCCACGGGGACAAGGCCCATACCCATTCTGAAATCCACAGCATGTGGGTGCTGACTGACAGGACACCCCAGGGATGCTCGATTCACCCAGCAGCACCTGCCCCCATCTTCCCCGGGCCGCTCCTGAGCCCTGTCTGGACTCGCCCTTTTCTCCATTCTCACTCATCTGAATGAGGGTTTGGCGCTTCTGTGCTCAGCCTCTGTCCGCACACCATATAGATCCCGGGAAGATGGTGCAGCAATTCTTAAGTTTAAAGCTGATGGTGGTTGCGGGTATGGTGCCGCCAACAGGTCGACCTGGACTGCGCGGCGAATGCCTCAGCAGCCTGATGGTGCCTTCAAGCTTCCTGATACCCTGATACTTCCTGATATACCGCTGTGCCTCTGGCCAGACCCCAACAACTTGGGGTCAAGTTTACCAAGAAATTAAATGGCCAAAAGTTAGGTATGTGGGAGCCACATCCACAAACCGCCTCTGGCTCAGCTATGCAAGTCCATTTATTGGCCTTATTAGAGACCCATAAATAAATCTCGAAAGAGCGCAAAAACCACAGTCAATCTCAGACCTGCGCATGGCTGAACAGACAGGGGTAA